TGAGTGCTATGTCCGATATTAACTTCTGTTTCTATATCAAGACACTCAATAACTTTCATATTTGTATAATTTCCTGGACCCGGATGTCACGCAGGTAGCTATAGCTGCCTACGTGGTGATTTCGATAATTTTCTTGTAAACACAAGATCTATCAACTGAAACCACAAATGTGCGATTGGCTCCTGTTGGTGGCTCCGTGCATTTGTATTTCTATCTTCTGGTAACCAAGTGTTGCCCTTCCTTACACTTGGCTGTACCATACTGATGATGGGTCAAAAGCCCGAAACACGTGTCTATGGTTTGCCACTTTCATGAGTGCTATTGTTATCTTTCGTTAAATTCATTAACTGTGCAGGACAACTGAAATAGATTACAAGATACTTATTTTATGTAGATATAAATATGGAACACTTACTAACGGGAGAATAATACAGAAACTGGAACACAACGAACAGAAATAAGAGTAAAAATGTATATAAATTTGGCTCAAATTGTTAAGATCTGTTTTCTCGTTCATGCAACCTCCCAAAATGGGAAGTTGGAGAAACTGGAGAAACTGAAAAGATATATAAGACAGACTTCTAGGCCCCTTACGTGTCGTATAAGTCCACACAACAGCGAATGCAGACGAAACGTTAATTCTTGCGCATTGAGTGAATACGTCAAAACGGAGTATCACAGAATGGAATATGGGAACCCACAAATTTTGGTTAGAAAAACCAACCTAACTGAAAAAACATTTTTAGAAATGACCTACATCAATAATGAAGAACAACAGGAACAAGAAAACAGATCTCAACAATTTGGAGCCAAAGTTATACATTTTTACTCAAATACGAGAAAGATAAAAAAATCATCTAGTAGTTAGACTTTTTCCACATGACACTCTGCCAAAATCTGGCATTTTTAAAAATTGTTATGCCTCTTATTTCATATTTATATCTATATAAAATAAGTATCTATTTTTGTTATCCTGATGAAGGTAATAAATTTACTGAAAGCTTGACAGATAACAATACTAACTCTGACAACCTTAGAAATTCACCTCCATAATATGGGGCTAGTGGACACACCTCTATACAGGATGTTTGAACAGGAAGATCAAACTGTTAGGCATGTCCTATGCGAGTGTCCGGAGTTATCGTCAATAAGAGAGTGTGTGTTCGGCGAGTCTTGGCCTACACCTGCCGATATAAAGGAGATGTCCTCTAGTGACCGGGTCACTTTCCTGGAAAGGACAGGATGGACGATGACCTAGGAGGGCAACTCCTCGGGATGATGTACAATAAGTCACATGTGGCCTAAGTACTGTGGGCTTACACTCACCCTCCCTACTCGACAGATACAGATGCAGTCTTAGAAATTTGACGTTATTTCAATACACGTACCTTTAAAACACTTTCATCTTCCGAGTGACATGATGCTTGGTAAGTCACGTCGGCTGCTTTTCCTGCTTGTGAGACGATGAATATTTTCATTGTTTGGGACACCTGAAGCCCTGTCAAGACTGCTGTATTGAGGACTTCCCAATTCTGAAACAAAAGAAATAAAATCTGATGAGCGCTCTAGAGACAATGTGATTGAAGTGAAAACGACGAACAAAAATCTACAGATGATTGATAATTAATGATGTAAGAGAAGAAAATCGTCAAATGGGCGTGATTTCAGTGTTCCATTGTACGGACTGGAGTTGTGTTATGCTTTTACAAAATATTGCAGGGGAATTTGTACGACTATATTCATCGGCATGTGTTTTAAAACAGTACACATTTCTTGTCAGTCCTGTGGTTCCTCATCAAAATAGGTCCTTCATTCAGGAATACAATTTATAACTTTCAACACTGCAAATGTTATAACACATTGATTTACTGGGTTTTATGAATTTTATTGTTATGATTTAGTTACATGCTTACAGAAAAATGTTCTTTGTATCGACATTTCAAATAACAACAAATATAATTGATTACTTTTTTCGTATTATTTCAAGCCAATGAGAACACACGATTTACTGGAGTTATCTTGAATTAATTAAATTATAGCTATTCTAAGCTTGATAATACATATTGATACAGTGATAGCTGAAATGAAACATGAATTTAAAATTCTCGAAACTTACATTAAATACGAATACAACTCAAAAAAATTCAACTTTCAGTAGACTGTTGTTCTGAAAATCTTGAGAAGAAAATTGGAGTAGATAATTTAGCAAACACCTGCTACATGGATAGCATTTCACAAGTGGGTTTCATGACGAAGAATTTCAAGAACGAGGTTTTAACGATGAACGAGAACGAGAATGTTTCCTACTTATTCACCAAACTCAAATAATTGTTTATGCAGTGGCAGGTTTGTAAGAATGTATCATCTTTCCCACCAACCGATTTCCTGAAGTCTTTGAAGTCTACTAGATACTCGTTAGGACAACAAGTGGATTGCTCCGAATTCTTAGGGTCTTAGGGTTGAATACTCTTCGTGAGAAAAAAAAAAGCAGAATCAATAATCCTGAACGCCTTGGATTGAATGATTCAGTACATTGTATTTCGTCTTGTGTTTTTAGATCTTTTGCTGGAAAAAGCGTCACTTGTTTACTTTGTAGTAAATGTTCAAGAGGTAGCAAAAACGTATGTGATTTTCTGGAACTTCCAACTAGCGTTTCCTAATATGACTGATAACCAGTCCGTGCAAAGTTTATTGTTGAATCATTTGAAAATGAAACTTTTAACCGGTAATGATCAACTGTATTGCCAAACATTCGCCAAACTAACTGACTATTATAAGAAAACAAGTAAAGCTGAGGCACCAGTCAATCTGATAACACTGAAGATCTCAAACATGACTCAACCTCTGCGGAAGCACTAAACTCTTACGAAGGTTCGAAATAGATGAATACTTCAATCTAACAGACCACTATTATAATCTTTATGCAGTCATTGTTCACTGTAGTCCTGGCGTTGAATCTGGTCATTATTACGCATTGGTCACAGAAGAAACAGACTGGTTTAAGTTTGATGATAGTCGTGTCACGAAGTGTTCTGGCGATGTATTGAATTTATTGGAGCCTCTGGAGACAGCCTACATTTTGTTTTATGAAAGAGAGGACATTGGTAGATCTAGATCTTCAGATGATGTGGTGCTGCAGGTTTTTCCGGGTTTTCCTGCAGCTGAAAAAGCAAATGCGCCACTGGAATCAATGAAGTCGCCCCGGAGCGCCAATTAATTTTTGTTGTTTCATAATTTCATGATTTGTATTACTTCCTTGAAAAAAAATCAATTATTAAATATCTATAAATAACTTTCAGAATTATGCTTTTAGAATCATAATTAGAATTGAAGGGGTTATATTTTTAGGAGTGATTAATTTTTGCTTGTCATCGATGACATAAGCAGATTAAGCTTATTCCGTGACATTAAAAATCGTAATTTATGAATGAACTGTGTGTATTTACTATAATGTTATCAAATTTGGTACTGAAGAGCCTTGGGGCAAGTGTCTTAAGGCGAAACATCGGTGTATACCAGTGAGGGTGACAGTGTTCCATGTAAGTGCAATTTATTACCATTCATTTGAAGTAGAACTCATGTGAATGATATCTGATTTTTATTCCACAACGAATGTTTGAAATACAAACTGAGTAGAAGTATTTGTTTCGAAAGGATTTTTTTTCTTCCGTGTAATTCAATGTTTACATGAAAGTAGCTATTTCAGGAGGACTTTCTTTCAGTTTGTGTCTGAAAGTTACTTCTTTGCATGATCTACACATCCATGTAGAGTGTTACTTATTTTGAAATTGATTACTTCCTTCCTTTCCTTGTTTTTTGTATCAAGTTGGAGTAGTAGAAAGCCAAAAACTTTCCCAAAAATCATAATTAATTTAATTTTTTTTCTGATACTTCGTTTCACGTTTCTATGTAGGATTGTTTTATGTTGTAGATGTGCAATAAGAAAGGATTTTCAAATAATCCAACTGGGGCGCCAGCCACGGGGAAAAAAAGCTCATTCATAAAATAAAGTTACCATTTCATAACTGTTTCTCCACGCGGCCGTCATCACATCATCTTTGATAATGTCTACCGCAGTGGTAGACGAAACGTCAGGCATAAAAACTTACACACTACGGATAAAAAAAACCGGAAAATATCTTTCACACAACTCAATATCTATCTCGTTTTCCAATTTCTATATAGTTGAAAGAATATTGTTCACATTCAAAGTTATTATTTTTATATGCTACATCACTTTCAATTTCTTCCGAGATGAATTCAATCGGATATAATAGAAGTGAGGTGGCAACATTTAAACGGTTTGTATTTTATTTTGGCAGAGTCAAAATTTTCACAATGGATACAGTAATATGTAGTAAGAAATGAAATAACATCAAGAATTTGCATTAAAAAACATTTCTACAACTTCTAAGTGCTTGGAGTAAAATATGTATGCAATAGATGAAAACTGCGGTTGATTTAGAAATTTCGCTCATGCCTTCATTGCAAACTTTACTTTTGTTTATGTCTGACGTATCATCTACTACTGCGGTAGACAGGTAACGGTCGAAGTAATCGACTTAATTTTTTTCAGGGATAGCCAGCTAGTTGGTTTCGTATTATGATAAATTATTCATTTTTAATTATTGATCTCAAATTTCAAAACTTGAATTCGGCCATTCGTGGATGCAAACTGACAGGTATAGACCCTAATCATTTTTCAATTACAACTGACCTAACACTTCACCTTTTGTTTCGCTGTTTTTCTTAGGTTAGGCACAATTCTGTAGTTATTTTACTAGGAAAAAATAAACAATAACTCATAACTTACTTCCATAACACTTCCCCTCGGCAGAAGTGTCAAATCCAGAAATGGAAATTGATAATAATATGAATGATCCTAAAGATATATTTATTTTCATAAGAAGAAAGAAACTTGGTCAATTTTTTTTTTCAAATCACTAACTGAAAATATCATGGGAAATTTCCGAAGGACGAAAGAAAGAAATCAAGTTCAAAATAAATTCTTTACAAAGATATGTAGATCATGCACAGATACAAAATTGAAGTAGACTTGGCGGTTCGTATTGGTTAATTTTTACTAACCGAGTTTAATGATTGGCTGAAGAGTCATAAAATTAATCGCCGTCGTGTTCAGTTCAGGAACTGATCGCGATTTGAGTGTTGAAATTCGATATTGGTGCAGGCATAATTACATGAATAAGATTCGGATGTATTTGAATATTGATACACAGAGAGTATGTTTTAATGTATATAATGTATATTATATCTCAAATTTGGTTTCGAGGGAAACCAAATTTACAAATTACCGAATTACAAGCAATAACAGATTTGACCAAGATTCCTTTCTCAACTGTAAATAAAATAGTCAAAAACAAACCTTACGAACACAAGACGCGATGTGATTCATTGAAAAAAAAAACAATAAACAACTGTTACAAAAGCAATGAGACTCCTACAACTGGAATCATAAGGAAAAAATTGAATACTTCCGGCCATAACGTGAGCTGCTGTGATAAAGAAACTACGATTTAGATTAAGAATAATGAACAAACGTCAAGCAGTTATGGAAAGCAGAAAAATAGTGGAATTGCCTAACAAATACTTAGAACAAATAACTGAATTTAGACAAGAACAATGGCAAATTTTCTATTTGGACGAAACTTGGTATGACACTCACGACACATAGTTACGAAAGGGTGGACTTATGGTTCGAGAATGTGTACGCCTAACATGCCAGCACAAAGGATCACGACTAATCATTGTGCATTGTGAAGGAAGTAAAGAATGGCTTCCGTATTCTTTGAAATTCTGTGTAAAAAAACTTGAGGACTATTATAAGAACATGGATGCTAATATTTCCGAGGAATAGTTTGAAAATACATTGATTCCAAATTTGGATGCGAATAGTATTATAGCTCTTGACATCATTTGCGACAGCTCATCAAAGTAACGAATAATATTCGAGGAAAGATGAAATACAAAGTTTTTTAATGGATATCAATTTATATTTTGAAGATTACTAGACCATAAACCAATTACTTGAAGTTCTACAGACAAAAACATTTGAAAAAGTGTAAGCCCTTGAGAGTATTGCTGAAAAGTATGGATACACCATACTGAGACTTCCCCCCTATTTTTGTTTTAAATCCCATCGAGTTGATTAGGGAAAAATTCAAACAAAGCATCAGGCGTAAAAATAATTTTCCAAAATTTGAGAAGAAGGTAATAGAGCTAATCAAAGAAGAAGTATTCAATATTACCGAAGAAGATTGGCAGAAAAAGATCAAAAAACCTGAAATGAAATAATAGTGAAATAAAATACAAGAATAAAACAATTGAACAAAAAATAGAAAATAAAAAGTTTATACATTCTAAGCCACGTTACTCACGACGTTTCGATTGTTAGTATCCACAATCGTCTTCGGGTGATGACTGGACTAATTCCTCCAAGAGATGGATATTTATGGGTCATTCGAGTACTTCGAGTAACCACCATCAATCGACTAAAAAAGGAATCATCAAGACTCTATAAGAACGTGCTTTCGGGCTCTGTAATACAAAGGAAGGTCTCGAGAAGGAACTAGACATCACCAAAAATGATCTTCAAAGGAATGGCTACTCCGAAACGATGGTGGAATAGACTTTGGCTAAAAGTCAGCAGTAGCCTCGCAAGGAGGAGAAGCTGTCAAAACCTACATCAGAGGATTATCGGAAAGGATGAGAAGAACCTGCTTCAGATCCGGAAACACTTTCCGTAGCAGCCTCACGAAAACCAGGCCACGAAACGCGGACTGCGATTCCAAGAATTGCATTTACCGGATGCATTGAATATTCACATTGCCAAGCACAAGAAACACACATAGCGAGGGGAAATCAGCAAATCAGGAATAGCAGAGCATGTTTGAACCCATCAACATAACATCGAGTGGTCCCAAACTGAGATCATACACAGGGAGGAACATTGGTTCAGGAGGAAATTCAAAGAAGCCGCATACATGTTGTCCAAGAACGTATTCAGCCAAGCTAGCGTAGAGATACGTAACACATGGAACTACATAATCAAGCGAAAAATGGTCAACTCTCGTCAAACGGTCATCTCCTACTGAACCGGCGAAGTAGAAAAAGGAAAGCGGAGATAAGTGAAAGTACTCGAATGACCCATAAATAGTCATCTCTCGGAGGAATCAGTCCAGTCATCACCCGAAGACGATTGTAGATACTAACAATCGAAACGACGTGAAGTAACTTGGCTTGGAATCTCTCAACTTTTTATTTTTATTTTTTGTTCAATTGTTCTATTTTTACCTGTATTTTATTTTACTATTATTTCATTTCAGGTTTTTTTCCTTAATATATTTTTTTTGTTTTCAGCTATTCATTTTTAATTCGTCTTTTTATTAGCTTTTTCAGGGATTTCAAATCATTTTATATAATATCTGTAGATCGAAAGTTAATAAGACCTGCAGTTTTTTTTCAAAATGGGACCTCCTCAAATATCAGTATGTTAGCAACAACCCCCTATATAACAGATTATTATAGAAAAAGTGTACGTAATCGAATTAATTACATGTTAGACTACGAGTTCAAAGAATTTGACATGACTGGTGTTACTAAGAGCCACTCTGTATATTCAATTTTTGTAGAACTTGAACCTGAACCTCATTCAGTAAAGAAGGGGAATATATTTCACACAAAAGACCGGTAGCATAAAAATACTCAAGAAAGCCACGGAGCGAGATATTGAAATTATGCATAAAGGAACACACTAGAAGGTATATTCTGTACATATTTTATGACAATAATGTCGAAGGACATTATGTAATAAATTACGTTTCGCTGTAAGTTGGGATGGCATCCGGTTTTATTTGAATGGCCAATATGGGGTCCGCCGTATTTCATCGTTCTTGCGAACCACTTTGTTGCACACCTTATTCCTGTGACGTTGAGCGTAGTATATTCCCAAGGAGTACGTATGTTGTGATAGTGGGCAGCAGGTTTAGGATATTTCACACAGCATGGTTTTTTCTCGTTTTCTCAAACGATTCGAAATTGAAAATCGATGATAGGAAATTTATACAGTCAAGATACAATTTATTGAATCCCTATTTCATAGGTATAGGTATGAAGTTTTACATTCAACAAGGTGGAAACTTGGCAATGAAAATTTTCACCACCTCAGTATGTTTTTCTAGTAAGTCGGTTGTCAATTTGTTTAGGAGTCGAATATAGAACTCTAAAGAGTTATATTAGGAACTTTCAGTACTGTGATCTGAATACTTTCATGAAAGAAGTACTGGTACTTGAATCACTTCAATAATACTGAAAATATCTCGGGTGTTTTGTTAGATTATAAAGACTAGAACTTGGAAAGTAAATACTCAACTCTGAATAATAATAATCACCTTCATTTCATACATAAATGCCACACTTCATATTTGTGACCAAGGGCTAATAAACAAAAGAAAATAAAGTACATTTTATTTGAAACTGAAATGTTGTTTCACTCAACCTCAAAAATGCTGCCCTAATTTTATTAACCTTATCGAAATATTGCCATCATTACACATCTGAAATGTTTCAAGTTTATATAGAAGAATGAACAAATAAAAAACAAGATTGACCAAAAAGATATATGTTGACGATTAATTTGAATTTTGTGAACGACATTCAGGTTCCAGTGGAAAACAATGTTTGAAAAATTCAGTTTCGAGCTTCGGTGACGTTATTGAACTGAATCTTACATTATAAATATTACAGTGAAATGTGATTTTCCGATGCAAATAGAAGGGTTTTTTGGAGCATGAAAAAGTCTTATCTTTTCCATATTCAATCATTCAGCAGTAATCAGTTTATTTGAAATTATCTCCCTTTACGAACACCATATACAGTGTCTTTCTCAAATGTCCCTCCCTTTTATTTTTTTAACGGATCAACTCAAAAAATTGAAATTTGGTATAATGAAATTAATGCATAAATACTCCATTTTGTTGGTATACGAATCTGAACCTGCTTCAGTATTGGATATACGGCAGAGAATAATTAATATTTGTAGAGATATTGACGTTACTGTGTTCGAAAATGTTCGACTTGAAATATCGGAATGGCTGTTCATATGTCAAGAAGTTCAAGGCAACCATTTCGAGCATCTTCTGAACTGACCTCAAGGGTATTACAAGATTGCAAGGGTATTATGTTAGTTATTTAAATGTCAATGTATTCAGGCAATTATTAAAAGTTCCGCCATTTGGTGGTGGTTGAAGATATTGACATTATATTCTAGGGTCGTGAAGCATTTATCAGGAGCTTTAAAAAGGTGTGTCACAAGACCCCCCTTTCCATTGAATTTTTTTCCCAGATGGCGACCAGTTGCCATCTTGAAAGTTTTATCTGTCAATTTCACTTCAAAATAAAGTATTCATGCATTAATTTCATTATCCCAAATTTCAATTTTTAAGTTGACCCGTTCAAAAAATGAGGGGGGACATTAAAGAAATGCACTGTATAAGTTTTGAACTATTTGTACTTTTGTACTTTGTTCTCTAATCACAAAAAATACGTCACATGAATGGAAAATATTTTCAAAGAACACAGTAATATAAGGGTAGATATTATAAATAAAGCAGTACTTCTTGTGTGTGTGGATATACATACATATATAAGGCTAATATAAAGTAATATAACAATATAAACATTCATAGTAATATAAATTATTGAAAGTGTTAGAAGCATATTTGAAGTTGATAATAACAGAGCTTATGATATCATTACGCTTGAATAAATGTGTACATGTAAGAATATTATCAGTATGTAATG